GTCAGTTCAGTATTTTTTCCAACGAAACTGACATGTCAAGATCCATTTTTAGGAGACAAAGGAAACTAGTGGGGAGATGCATAGGCAAGATTTCTCTCCACCGACAAAAAACAACAACAAAAATTGCCATCCAACGACAGTGTAGCCATACACTTGAGGGAAATTACATATTGGGTGTAATTTTCCTCTACACAGCATGATCACAGATAATTAATATACATGATTGCGAATAACACAATTAAAAGCCCCTGGCTAGAACCTGACTTTGCAAGAATCACATTCAAATTGGGAGGGTCACAATCTGTTCTGATTTTATCATATGTTATCCATACCACCAATATGTTTAAGACAAGGAACAGCATTGCTACTAACGCAACACGAGCTTTTTCATAAGCTTCAGAAGCCAGTCGTCTTGGAGTAAGACCAAGTATAGCAATGCTGCCTGTTTGTGTGATTGCAGTTAACAAGGAAGTTGCTTAAAATGCTTTTTTTTTTTCCCACCCATGTACAGCACCTGATCAGTTATTGCCTTAAGATCTTAAGCACCTCATTTTATTAACAAGCGTGTCCTGCAGTTGCACTCACACACCAGGCTGTGGCAGCCCTCATGCTGCTGGCAGCTTGCCTGTTAACAGCCATTTATCTTGCACTACTTGCAAAACATTTTATTTTTTTTCCCCCATACAAGGGGAACTTCTACAGTCCTCCACCAAGAGCTAGACCCCTGCAGCTTACATCAGCTCCTATGACCAAGGTCTGTATGAACTGCACAGCAAGATAGGAAGTCAGTTTAAGTTTAATTTTGGAGTTTCTAGCTATTCCTCATCTTCTGCAGTATCTGCTTGCAGGCTACAAGGGAAATAACTGCTGCTTTGCAAAAGAGAGCACAAAGATTGAGTGTTAGAGCACACTATCTCTGGCCCCTCATCCATACAACCAAGAGGGCCATTCTGAAAAATACATCTTGCTTAATTTCACAGCATGGACACCACATTCATAAATACACCGGTGCCATAGAGCATACTTGAGCTGCAGGTAGCCCGAGTGCTGCTGTACCCTCACAATGGAACCAAGGAGCTCAGCATCTCCAAAAAGCAGTGCTTTCAATCCACACTCCTTCCCAAACACCGTACAGGTCAGCTCAGCAGGTACCACCAGTTATTTTCCATCAAGTCCATAACTCACAAAATAAAGTTCAAGCACTGATAGTTTGAGGCAACCATTAGAACTTACTACATTAACAGTGCAGAGACAATGGGATTTTGTATATTTTAAACACATTATGATACTGCAGAATAGCAAGGAAACAAACCGTCAGTTTTCTGTTAGCATTAACCACCACGCGAGAGGATGCAGATCCTTCATTGCTCCAGGGAGCAAACAAGATGGGTCAGAAGAGAAACTGACAGCTGAGCTCTTGCTGAAGGTCCCAGAGGAAAAAGTGGAATTCAAGGTGCTGCACTTGACTCCCTTCCTAACCTTAACTTTGCAAAGTAAACACTTCGGAAAATCTGAAACTTGTCCAAATGGATGTACAGACAGGTTAGGAACTCTGGACAGTACAAGCAAGTGGAATATATCAAATAATTTAATCGTCTACATCAACCTTCAGTCAGCTCCCACTTCTTGGGGTCAAGAACCCCAGATAATGTTCGTGCAGTATTTGCCCGAGTCAAGTTTGTCATACTAATTCACAGCACAGCCCAATATGAACAAGAGCATCCAACTTCTGAGCTGGAGCTATTTTTCTGTACACCATGGGAAGCCAGCAACCCTTGAATACTATCATGATGTTTCACTCAAGTGTTGTCAGACCTGTAGTCACTTGTAGATATGAACCCAGTTCCTGCACACTCTGGGTAAGTCCCCGGACTGCTGGCGACAGCACACATATGGTCCACATTTGCTGTTGCAGGTGAGGCTCAAAATATGTTTTAGCATATATCCAGAATTCCCTAAAGACAAAACCAAGTGAATGTAAATTTATCTGGTGCAAAGACACCTTAACTGCTGGTTAAGTCAAATATTTCACTCCAAGCTGTTTCATTCTACCTCCATTTTGGAGAACAGCATGGATGTTTTGGTTAGCCATCAAACAATTAGATTAAGAGTGTCAGTCCAATAAAATCAACATTTCCCTCAGGCAAACCTCTTAAGCCAAGGCCAACCTCTTCTCACTATGCAGAGAAGTATACTATGCAGTTACACCAAGCTCTGCAATTTACTTCAGGTTGGAGAATCTAGTTTGGGGAAAACCCACGAGTATTCACACCATCTGAAATACAAGTTACCAAATATTTTGCCTGAAGCCAGACCGCAAAGTGCTGTAAAAGCCAGGGGAAATCAGAGACTTAATTTGAGGAAATACTTACAACTAGTTCTTTTATAAAGGACCCTGTACAGCACAAGCACCACAACAGCAACTTCTGTTTTTCTTGGCAAAAGCAAGTTTTTCAAAGCAAGGAACCCAGTGCTACCCAAATACCTATCCCACTTACAGAAAGCTGGGAAAACTGCTTTGTCATATATACACATACATATATATATATATATCAATATAAATTATACCATGACTCAACTGCCTGATCTCTTCTGAGTTGGCCCCATATTACTTTGGTCTTTTGATAGACATTTAAATATAATATTGACAGGTAAGGAGAGCCAGACAGTTACATTAAACAGAGAAGCAGGACTTCAGCTAAAGGAAACATTCTCCGTCTACATATTGCACAGTTCACTTAAAAATAAAAATCAGGTGATAATTGTCATTGGTCATCTGGAGAGACAGGAATAATACTCTATTCTCATGTCTCTTATGTGCCCAGGTCTAAATAGAGGTGCTGAAGGAAGGAGCTGGTGGTCACCTGCTACAAGCCTGAGACTTCACACTCATATCCAACAAGCCATTTTTCTGAGCCTGTGTCATGTATGGTATGTGATGAGCTAACTCCATATTCCTTATTTTAAAAATGATATAAGTCAGATCGTAACAGTGTGCTACAATAATTAAATGTGTATTTTTAAATAATTTGCCTGTTGGTAGAACACAGTTATTATCAGATACAGCACAACCATGTGGAAGAAAAACATCTAAGATGGTGAGACCATAAAAATCAACTGGCCATTACAGTTTGTTAAAGGAAAATTAGCCAGTCAATAACTTTTTCCCATTAGAGTAGCTTCCATAAATTAGTGTGTGAAATAATTATTTTGAAATAAACCCTGTGGAAATAACACCAGCAAGGAACATGAAATTGCCAAAGACAGAAGTTACTTTAGTTTACTGAAGTTAAACCTGTGAAGATGTTCAGTTTTCCAGCATGAACAAGCACTTACAGTGAAGAGCACCTTACAACTATTGTTAGTATGGTACATGTCCTCAGGAAACCCAGTAAGAAAGTACCTTATATTCCATAAAAAGACTAAAGAGTCAATCTCTAGAGGCTTCAGAAGCCAAACACCACCATGCACACTTAGATGGAGAACTTGGCATACACGGATTAGAAAGAAAATGCGGAGTGAAAGGGTTAAGCATTATTTCAAAATATTTCAGAAATAGCACACTAGCACCAAGAGTAAAGCTGTTAAGTTCTACAGAACTGTGGTAGAAGTGGCTTACACTCTTATTTAGGAAAGACCATATGTGAAGACTGGTTGGTAGTCTTTAATACATGAGAATCTTGTATTAAAGGAAAGGGATAGTTAACACAAAGCCCATCAAGGATGTAAATAATGCATTCAGGCTCCTAAGTATAAGCACATGCACCTTGAGAGACTCCTCAGTACTGCACTCAAGCACCAGTTCACAGGTGGAGCATGACTGAGGTCCCTAGACCCATACCATAGTATGGGGAAACAGGCTGAATCACTGCCCTGTAAGGTCATGGCAGTAAGACTGCAGATCGTGGAGATTCATCACATCAGGTATTGCAGAGACCATTTTTCTACACTTGCTGTAGAAGCAAGTAATTTTTCTGCAGTTCCTTGCATATGCCTAACTTTAGGCACCTGAAGCAGCTTCAAACACATCAGCAAAGTTAGCCAGAGCATAAAGCTCAGCATATGCTTAAGCAGAGAAACAAATCTTGTCCAGTACATCAGCAGCTGTGCACAGAAGCAGCCTGCACTGAACCAGGCAGATAACTTGCACCTGTACCCAGCAGGCAAAGCTTAACTGAGCCAGCTGAGACAATCAGGTTTTGGTCTCCCTAGGAAGACCTCAAGTTATAACTAATTTTAGCTACTTCTCTGAAACAAAAGTTATCACAGGGAGAAACACCAAAAGTCCACCTCTTTACAAGTCCCAGTTCCCTGTTTATATACCAGGAGCCTGCTGGAGTTCAATAAGCATTTGTACAACACTCAGAAATAGGATTCATTTTTTGGGTGGTGCTGTGTGTAGCCAGGAGTAGCACTTGGTGACCCTTGTGGGTCCCTTTCAACTCAGGATATTGTGTGATGCCAAGCCCAGTAGCCTCCCTCTCCTTGCTCAACGTCCCAGAGAAAGAAAACTATTACTCATAAGAAATATATAAGTAAGTTAAAGAGTGGCTCAGAAAGAAAAAGTTACAATATTATTTCTCAAGGATAAACAGAGAAAACAGAAAAGACAAGTTCTTACTATAGAAGGAAAAAAGCTTTCTTAGCTCCCAAAGCCTAGAACCATTATACTCCACATCCTGTATTAAACATGCTCTAGTAACAGAGAATCAGAGCTCTCCTGTGTACCCGAGATGCCCCAAGCAAACTCTGAATAACAGCTCATTAGGAAAAAAACATAAATAGAATCATACATAGTTTACAAGAAAAGAAACTCAAGAGCTTACTAACACGACTGCCACCAAGCAAAGACCTTTCATAAAGGTTTCCACACAGCTGAAAACTTCCACTTTAACAATAAAATACAGTCACAACTCAAAGATATCTTTGTAGGCTTTCAGACCCAGAGCTCACCATACCCTCACCCTTTATCATTAATGATATATACATGAATTTCTTACCAAAAGCCTTGAACTAATGAGAACACACCTCCATTTTCCAGAAGGAATAACAGCTCCTACAACACAACTTCCTCTCACCCCCCACCAAACCAGCAAAAGATTGCTCCACCTGCAACCTTTCTAGCACTAGTGTCTGATGGCTGCTTGGACACAGCTGGGAAAAGTCTCAGAAACTATTTATTGCTTGGGTGCCAAGCTTAACCTTTTGCTTGTTCATTGTAAGAAAAGTGCAAAGGAGAAGACAGTTTGTTGCTATTTTTACATTGGCGGTTGGCATAGGTTATGTTTATTAGCTTGTCCAGGGTATTGAGGAAAACAGTAGTTTCTTTTAAAGTCTCTAAAATTTGCTTCATTAAGTTCACTGGCAACATGTTTTCAGTCCTCTAATTCTGTTCTTTTTGTTTCATTTATTATAGGTTGCTTTGTAATACAAAAGACCAAAGCTACTTGGCATTTAAGGAAAAAGTGTGGTTTCATAGATACATTGCAGTAGTGTAATATGTTATTAGTTTATAATAGTCTCTAACTATAGAGGGCAGCAGGTTATTTTTAATTATAACATTTGTAATGCTTCAATTGTTTTACTTATGTTCATTTTTAACTTGTTGCCTCTAAGAAGCTTACAGAAGCTATTGATAGCTTATTAACGTTTATAAAGCGAGTGTTTTGTTAGAGGGTTGAACTATGGTTGTGTGTTTCCTTAGAATAAAAGTAATAATTGATCATTTGGTTCTGGAACTTAATCTTTGAAATGTATCCATTTCTGTAATGCTTCACTTTCTAATTCTAGTTTCCCAGTTGAGAATGTAATAGAAATTGTTAACTGAGATTTAAATGGAGGGTGATATTTTCCAGCTAAGGGAAATTAAGGGATGGGCAAATATGTTTCAAAAACTTTGCTCAGCTGGCACAATGCAAGTGGATTGTATTGACTACAGCTATAGGTGTGCTTAAATATACATTTTCTGATCCTTTTGTTGAAGGATTTCAATTCCTTTAGACCAGTTGCTGGTATTAATGATATCCCAAACGATTCAGAACTCCTAATGATCATTAACGGGAGAAACTTCAATGCTATTTTAGTCTTCTTAAATAACCCCTTCTGAACATTTCCACATCTGTGTAGGTGAGCTGCAGACAACAACTTCCTACAAAATAAGAATTTTTTATTAGATTTGTGATTGGAAAAAGTAATGGACGTGGCTTAAGTTGAAGTGACAGCTTCCTGCTTTGTAAAAACATGGCTCAATTTCCAGTTTGACCAGAGAAGTACAACAAAAAATGCTTTAAGTAGTTAATGACGTGTGGTTTCTTACTTAGATTACTTCTGGTTCTTTGTCTTTGCTATTGTATGTTTTAACACTGGAGTCCTTTTTGAAGGTAAAGCAAGAAGGGCTGAGACTGTTGAGCAGCCCTTGGTTGATTCTCTTCTACTCGACTGTGTATCCCACTTCTTATAGCCTAAAAATTACGATCCTCTGCCAAATGCTGTATCTCTAACCTGGCGTGTCAGTGCAATGTGATTTCCAGTTTGCTGGCAGCCCATCTTGCTCAGAGTAGTTGTAAACAGTGATGCTGGTATTTTTATTGGCTAATTTTACAAGCTGGCATCTGCTGTCAGCGGCTTCATGTAAACACACTCCTGCCACAGCATCTGTTCTGCTGCATATTGCCCTTACCCTAGCGCTCAAATGGAGCCGGGGAGGGAGTGATCAAGCTCTCTACATTGAAAACTGGGAGCTGAGGATGGGGCTCAGACCTCCTGGAACTAGATCTCTGGAAATAGACTATTTGAGTCAATTCAAGAGCACTTTTCTAAATGGCTTTGAATTCTCCACTACTCACTGTCCAACCCTGCTCACTGCTTGAGCAAACATTTTCTTAATGTGAACTCAGGAAATGTGTGAAGGTGACCAGAACAGCAGACTTCTATTTCGATGGAAGATGAATGTTTTTGTGAACGAAATTTGAGATGACAGGACTGAGTTGTTAGCCAGATGCAATGAAGTTAGATTGATCTTGTGGAAGCCACATACAAAATAGATGGATATGAGCACCAGGAAAGAACAGCCCCCAGTCAAAGTGGAGACAGCTGTGCAAAGAGGTTGGTATATATGTAGAGACAAAATTTTGGTCTCAATGGAGAAGTTAAAAAGCAATTATGATGTGCAGTTTGCCAATGGATTATCAAGCTATGTAAATACAGGGGACTTGACTAATACCAGAGCAAGTCAGTGACAGTGCAGCAAAGTCCTTGATGTCAGACCAAAGAAAGAACAGACCTAGTCAAAAAATTAATAATTGTATTAAATGTAGTATGTTATGAGCTAGTATCACATTTAAGTGACCCTATTCATCTCCTAACACGTGTATCATAAGCATAGTTGCTTTGTTTCAGCGCCCAGTGTATGCAGGACTTCATTCTGTGCTTGTCACCACTAGATTTCCTTCCAGAAGAGGGATGGAAGACAAAGCGATGACAGAAGTTTGCCTTGTTTTACTGAGGGGTGTTCACATTTCTTTTAGAAGTTCATGTAAATTCTTGGATTAATCCTAAAGGGAAAAAATAAATGATTGCAGACTGGAGAGAGCTGCACTGCTTTATAAATATGGTCTAGGAAGCAGGAGTCTTTCCTCCCATATTCAGCAGTACTTGAGTGAGACTTCATGGCTGGCGTAGCTCTCCTGTCAAGATTAGGAGGTTTTTTTTTTCCCTGCTCAGTGTTTTTCTGCCTCTATTGGAAGGAAAGAATACTGAGAAAGTTCCTAATATAAAAATTAAGCATGTTCTGCTTTCCTGGAGACATGGGCAGACATGCACCAGCCTCTCCTCTATCTCTAACATGATTGTGAATGTCTTCCCACTTCCAAATTAGGGGCTAACTCATACCCGGAGGAACCACCTAATTTGTAAGTGCCCAAATCCAGGAGTGGTGATTGTGAAGAGTGTTGATAGGCCAATTTGCTGCAAATGAAATAGGGAGAGCTTGATGTGGGAGAAATGGATTCACAACACCTGCCAGCAACAAGCAGCAGAAAACAAACAAAACCCAGAAGTGTTCACCGCTACCCTGTGCAATGATCAGTCCATTTGCTCAGAATTTTACTAAACGTTTATCCTTGGTGCAGATATTTATGCTGGCCAGGTGTGAATCCAGGTCTCTCCTGGACGCTGATCTGCATCTCTGAGATGAGCTCTGCTTATTTTCTGTATAATCCCCTTTTGCTTAGGGGACTTGCCCAGAAAGGAGGGACTGTGGATTCAATGCTTCCCTCAAAGCGTACAGGGCTTGGCTTGGAATAATTGCATCTTAGTTGGGCCAGAAAGACCAAACATGCAAACGGCTGGTCAACTATATGGGTGATTTTTGGCAAGACAGAGGTAGGTTTGCATCTCCTTCTGACTTGATTCTTCCTTCCTTTGCAAATTCCTTCCTTAATCTTTTATTACTGTGTGGGCAGAGTCATGTTTGTCACTTTTAATACAAGTAAGTTGGCTTGTTCTGTTGGAATGGTTCTGAGCATGTGCAGAAACGATGTGTAGCCCCACAAAAATCTCGTTTGAGAAGGGTTTGGATATTGTGAACATGAAATGGGAGAGGAAGGATGCTTGACTTAAACATACTGCTTGGCATAGTATGATGCATGTCTAAGATGGGGTGTGTTTTGAGGTGGCTATTGTCTGGTGACTAGTTTCTGGACCCCAACAATACGTTGACCAGAAGCTGGACTGAGGTTGAGCATTGAGTTAAACTCTATGTAAATGCCCTGATAATGACTTCTGTCCGCTTTGCTCACTTCATTATTTGCTGCTGTGCGTAGTTTCACTGTGTAAAGGAGCTATGCAATCAGTGCATCTGTAATGGTTTTATTAAAGTTTAAATGTTTATACCAGGCTCAGTATTTCCTGCAGTAAATGTCTTAGGGTGGCTATTGCACTCTGGGTAAAATGTCTATTATGGGCCCTAGACCAGAGACCCATTACAAGTTCACATTACAAAGTATTCTGCTCTAGGCTACAGCTGTAATCTGATTGCCACTCCTTTTTCTACTTGCTGTGCATGTGCCCCCATCTCTTTCACCTCCTGATTGAATGAAATTGTAATCACCTACTCTTCTGTTTAGCTGGGGGCAGAATTAAAGGCAGAAAACAGAGGCAGCCAGAAGTGTCTGGGAGTGTGCACATGGGAAGGCAGAACCTACAGGAGGATGAATTAAGTGGGGATTAAGCAAAGGTGCCAGAGCCAGGATGATCTCAGAAAAGACAGAAAGGGGAATGAAGTTCAGAGAACAAGGAGGAGAAGCTATAAAAGGAGAACTAATTGGTAATGAGCTGCCAGTTCTTATTTATAGCCATCTCATGATGCAGATGGTGTGCTTACACACCAGTACTGTCCAGTACACTGGTAATATTTCAGTGGGAACTGGGAGGAACATGGAGACACTGCCTCCTTGTACAGGGATGAGGTTAGAAAAGCCAAAGTCCAACTAGAATTCAATCTGTCAAGGGACAGATTGTCTCTCTTTACTACTAAGACTGGTTTTCAGGAATCCCAGCTCCTAGAGACTGGGGGAAAGTATGGAACAAGGAGGATGTGCCCTTGGTGGAGAAGAATCAGGTCAGGGAATACTTATACTGGACTTATGTAAATTCATGAGATGTACCCTGAGTGCTGAGGGAACTGGTAGATGTCAATGCAAGGCCACTCAAATTTGGCTTCATTCATTAATGACCTAGATGAGATGGGGCAGGGTGTACCCTCAATGAGTTTCAGCCTCATCCAGGCATAATGCTGACCCTTTAAAGCACATCTTTGTTAGCAGGATTTTACTTGCACCTGAAGGGGATATTGTCAGCTGAGAAAATAGCTTCCTCAGGATCACTCAGGGTACCTGTGTCAGAAGTAAAACATTATCAATGCACCTGGGTCCTGTATCTTGGTTGCAAAGCTAGTTAAGTGTTCCAGCTGTTCTGGTATGGAAGGAGTAGCTTTTCCTAGTAACAAACAGAAGTGTTTGAAAGGCTTGTGTCTTTAAGGCAACTGGACCTTCAAATTGCATGGAAGTTGCATATTAAAGGCTGATGCTTTTTTTTTTTT